CCTTCTCCTCCATTCTCCTCTTGGGATCTTGGGTATGCATGCACACACGTCCGGCATGAGTATAAGCCACCGGGTCTAGGACTCAAACCACGGTCGACTACATGGGAGTCCAGTGACATAGCCATTACACCAACTGCTGGTCCCTCTGCTGAGAGATCTCTGTTCAGATTCAAGTTCTGCTGCTACCTCGTCATTCTGTGTCACCTTGCATAGGGAGGTTGTCTCGCTGCTGAGTGTTATTTTCCTTGTATGTAAAATGCGGTTAGTAAGAGCTACTCTGCAGGGGTGTCACGAGGGTCAGAGGAACTTCTGTGAGCAGGCAAAGGACGGGTGGCCAGCATGGTCTTGGTGGTGGTTCAGCAAAGGTCAAAGTCTCTTTCCAGCAGGCTTGGGATACATTCAGGCTTTGTTTGTCCAACTGCTCCATCACCGAAGCCTTCCTATGAGCTGGGTGCTGGGGTAGGACAACCCATAATAGTCACTGCAGCTGCTGAGGCTCAGGAGACCCAAGGGCTGCATACCCTGTCTCACCCCCTCCAGCCCAGCCTGCCACAGAGCAGGAAAGGGAGGCTCAGAGATCTGACCTGCTGGAGGTCCCTGCACAGCACACAAGCAGGGTCAAAACCCAGATCTGTCACCAGGGCCTGTTCTCCATGGTGGCCTCCCTGAGCCCCATCTCAGCAGCTCCAGTCTGGGGGGACACATCTACACCCAGAACTTCCTGGAATGGGGCTTTGGAGAAGAATGAAATGCACCTTCCTTGGGGACACCAGCCCGTGGTGTAGGTGGCCTCCACGGGCATCCCAAGCCCCTTACCTGGGTCATCCTCGTCGCGGGGCACCTTCTTGAAGCAGTCGTTGAGTGACAGGTTGTGGCGGATGGAGTTCTGCCAGCCTGCCTTGCTCCTGTTGTAGAAGGGGAAGTTGTCGGCCACGTACTGGTAGATCTGGCTGAGGGTCAGGCGCTTGTCGGGGGGTCCGTGGCTGGCCGATCTGGCTGAGGGTCAGGCGCTTGTCGGGGGCTCCGTGGATGGCCATGGCGATGAGAGCTGAGTAGGAGTAGGGGGGCCGCACCAGCTTCATCAGCTCCTCCTGGGAGGGGATGGGCAGCCAGCCCAGGTCGCTGCCCCCCAGCCCGGGCAGTAGCTGCCGCTGCACGCCGTAGGCCTGGGGCAGGAAGGGACTGGCACTCGTGCCAGACAGGTAGGGCGGTGGGGTCACGGTGGGCCCATTCAGCCAGAGGTAGGGGTTGGGGGTGGCCCCGTATTCGCCGCCCCCCTCGAAAGAGGTGGGGCGCTGAGGGCTGGGCACGCCCTGCGGGTGGAAGAAGTTCTCATAGTAAAGGTTGAGCTCAGGGGGCTCCTGGCCGATGCTGGGGAACTGGGGGCTGCAGCGTGGCGGGGGGGGCGCCTGGAGGTCGAAGGCGCTCATGCTGGGCGCACTGCAGGGCCTCCTGCCTGGCACCTGAGAGCCGCCCTGACAGGTGCTCCTCGGGCCTGGCCTCCACTTATACCCCCTGGGGCCTGGCCCAGGGCAGCCCCACCCAGGGGCGGCCACCTGTCTGGAGAGCCTGGAGAGAGGAGAAGGCTGCCCCGCCTCCTCCACTGCCTGGCAGGCAGGGCACTTCCTGGGCTGCTCAGGTCCCCACCCAGACAGCCACCAGCTTGCAGGAGCTGAGCTGCGAAAGACCAGGCTCCCTGTCCTCTCCTCTCCTTCGCTCCCTCCCTGTCTCCCCTGCTCTCTTCACCCTCCTGTCCCCCCTTTCCTCCCTCATTCCCTTTCTGTCTCATCTTTGTCTTCCCACTCTCCTGATGCTCTGCCCTCCTCACTTCCTCCTCTCTCCCCGGCTCTCCTCTTGGTCTTTGTTTTTTTCACACTCCTTTCTCCTTCTCATTGCCTCTGATTTTCTTTCTCTCCCCCGCCCCCCTTCACCAGATGCTGTTTTTCTCATGCCCTGCTCTGGCCACACTCCACCCCCCAACTCTTATTCTCTCTGTCCCTCAGTCCCTTTGCATCTAGGTCTTTCTGTTCTCCATCTCTGCCTCTCATTTCTCTGGGTCTTTCTTCTTGCCTGCCAGTCCCCTACTTCTTTCCCACACTGACTCCCCTTCCTCTGAGCAACTGCTACCTCCACCCCCACCCCCACTGGATGGGACACTCTCAGAAGTCCCGTTTTTTGGCCTTTTGAAGTAGAGACGCGTTTTCTGTAGTTGGCAAGAAGAACCTAGCCTGGAGGATCAGAAGATGGCAGAGGAGAACTGGCCTCTGGTGGGGGTTTCCAAAGCTGGCCAGTTACAGGCTCCCTTCCCCCAGCTGGCCCCCAACACAGGAATATACACACACACGCACTGCGAGGTGGGCAGAGAAGGAGGCTATGGACAGGGCCTGGGGATTCACGCAGAGGGTACTAGCGTTTTAAAAAATAACCACAGGGACTGGAAGGTGGCATAGTGTGTAAGGCCCTGGATTCCCACGTGGCTGACCACAGTTTAAGGCTTGAAACTCACTCCAGGTGCATGTGCGCATGTGCCCAGAATTCCAGGAGGAGAATGGAGGAGAAGGGATTGCAGCATGGCCGTCCTCCCTGGTACATGATTTCGCTTTCTCTCTGGTGAGCATATGCATGCCATAGCAAAAATCTCTCAAATAAATAAATAAATAAATGAATAAAAACAACAACACAGAGGGGCGGATGGAAATCAGACCTCAGGGAAGATGAGATGGAACGTACACGATTGAGGGTTTTTCCCCCAGCTCCAGTAGCAAAGCAGGCTCCCCGCTATTTATCTGCTCCAAAGTTCTTTGAGGGTTCAGCTTGCAGAGACCCTGCATCAGGGAGCCCCACAATGCCATCCCCCTCCCATCTGTCCTTTGAACTCCACAAACACAGGCTTCAGCCCCGGTCCTGCTTGTCCTGGCTGCCTGGCCAGACCCTCTTTTCTCTGAGCTTCATTCTCCATCCATAGATGGGAGATGGCTCGACCTGGCCTCCCCTCCACCTCCCAGACAGGCCCTGAGCAAGAGGAGGGGGAGGGGCCTCTTCTCAGAGGGTAGGCAGCTGCCCTGACCAGGTCCTGGTAGCAACTTCTTGGTCATGACTTCTCTTCATGACCACACAGATCGGGAGAACGTTTGCGTCAGCCTTTCGGTCACTACCTCCCTCCTGCTCCCCGCCTCTGCCTGCTTCTCCCCATTCAACGTCCTCCCGCTTCCTCTAGACTCCATGTTCCTTCGATTGCATCTAGGTCTTTCTGTTCTCCATCTCTGCCTCTCATTTCTCTGGGTCTTTCTTCTTGCCTGCCAGTCCCCTACTTCTTTCCCACACTGACTCCCCTTCCTCTGAGCAACTGCTACCTCCACCCCCACCCCCACTGGATGGGACACTCTCAGAAGTCCCGTTTTTTGGCCTTTTGAAGTAGAGACGTGTTTTCTGTAGTTGGCAAGAAGAACCTAGCCTGGAGGATCAGAAGATGGCAGAGGAGAACTGGCCTCTGGTGGGGGTTTCCAAAGCTGGCCAGTTACAGGCTCCCTTCCCCCAGCTGGCCCCCAACACAGGAATATACACACACACGCACTGCGAGGTGGGCAGAGAAGGAGGCTGTGGACAGGGCCTGGGGATTCATGCAGAGAGTACTAGCGTTTTAAAAAATAACCACAGGGACTGGAAGGTGGCATAGTGTGTAAGGCCCTGGATTCCCACGTGGCTGACCACAGTTTAAGGCTTGAAACTCACTCCAGGTGCATGTGCGCATGTGCCCAGAATTCCAGGAGGAGAATGGAGGAGAAGGGATTGCAGCATGGCCGTCCTCCCTGGTACATGATTTCGCTTTCTCTCTGGTGAGCATATGCATGCCATAGCAAAAATCTCTCAAATAAATAAATAAATAAATGAATAAAAACAACAACACAGAGGGGCGGATGGAAATCAGACCTCAGGGAAGATGAGATGGAACGTACACGATTGAGGGTTTTTCCCCCAGCTCCAGTAGCAAAGCAGGCTCCCCGCTATTTATCTGCTCCAAAGTTCTTTGAGGGTTCAGCTTGCAGAGACCCTGCATCAGGGAGCCCCACAATGCCATCCCCCTCCCATCTGTCCTTTGAACTCCACAAACACAGGCTTCAGCCCCGGTCCTGCTTGTCCTGGCTGCCTGGCCAGACCCTCTTTTCTCTGAGCTTCATTCTCCATCCATAGATGGGAGATGGCTCGACCTGGCCTCCCCTCCACCTCCCAGACGGGCCCTGAGCAAGAGGAGGGGGAGGGGCCTCTTCTCAGAGGGTAGGCAGCTGCCCTGACCAGGTCCTGGTAGCAACTTCTTGGTCATGACTTCTCTTCATGACCACACAGATCGGGAGAACGTTTGCGTCAGCCTTTCGGTCACTACCTCCCTCCTGCTCCCCGCCTCTGCCTGCTTCTCCCCATTCAACGTCCTCCCGCTTCCTCTAGACTCCATGTTCCTTCGAGATCAAAGAAGCTCGTTGATGCTTCCTGGGGAATTCTGCCCTGCCTGCCTCTCTGTGCCCCTCCTCGGCTATGGAGGGCATGCACGGGGACACGAGTGCCACTGCATTGGTGCACAGAGGATGGGCCAGGTACCTGGGGAGGAGGGGGCTGCCCAGGCCCACTGTCTCCACCATGGAGCAGTGACAAAGGGTGACAGTCTGAGGGTCTGATTGCTTGATGAGTCTCAGGACAAGCGCACTTTGCAGAGTAAAGCCAAGTTTTTATTTAGAGTTTCTCTACCAGGAGGTCTGGCTTGTTGAGGGCAAGGTGCTGAGTTTTCAAAGAGCCCAGAAATAGATCTCAAACCTTGCTACTAACCTAACAATTCTACTTCTCGAGGTTTATCTTGCAGAATTAAAGAACGAGGACAGCCGTGGCCTGGTGGTTAAGACACTGGATCCCATGTGGCCGACTGCATAGATTGAGTCTTGCACTTGGAGGCTTGAAAACCATGCAAGGTACATATCTGTACATGCCCAAAATCCCGAAAGGGGGGAGAACAGAGGAGAGGGGTTGCACTGAAACTATGCCCTGTAAAGGGAGGGGACGCTTGCTTTCTCTCTCTAGCACACATGTCCTCTGGCAAAAAAACAACACACACACACACACACACACACACACACACACAAGAAAACAACAACAACAACAAAAATCTAGAACTAAAGAACAAAAAATAGCCATCAGGTTGTTCATCACAGCATTGTTTATAGCTGCAACAAACTGTAACTAACCTCAATGTCCAACAAGAGGGGATTAGTTAAATTGATTGTATCATCCAAATGACATAATATCATACAGCTAAAAAAAATAGATTTTAGGAGAATAATTAGTAATATGAAAAGAGGTTTATATGCTGATGATATTGTTTAGAGACCCAGACTGCAAAACACCATGATTTTTAAAAATACACGCTCATACATATTTATGAAATCTAGGAATAGAAATGTCAATGATTATCCCAGGGTGGAGAATCAGATGTGATTGTTGTCCTTCTTTTTAGCTTTTTATTTAAATAATCAGAGAAAGGCAAGCGCACGGCGATTTGCTCTTGGGGTGAATGTGAAGGCCGGGCAAGGCCGTGTAGTGGGACGCAGCAAACGCGGGCTCTGAGGATCCAGCCGGGGCACAGACAACTGTGCGCTTGACAAGTGGTGCAGTTTTGCTCAGCCTCAGTTTTCTGTGGAGAAAACGGGAAGGATGGCAGTGTGTAACCCCTGGGGCTGTGCGGGCCCTCAGTGGCCCGCACTGAGCACTGGTCACTTCTCACAGTGCGGAGAGGCAGGCTCTGGGAGCGTCTGTTATCACACGGCATGGCCAACCACGTGGCGGCTGTACGGTCAAGCTCACCTGAGGTTGCTCCCCTGCAAGTTCGTCAGTCCCCCTCCGCCCCGGGGCAGCCCGCAGACGCAGGTGTGATGCGAATTGCCATGCGAGGACAGAACATTTCGGTGTTGAAAGTGATTGTGTGGCCAGACTGCCATTTGCAGAGGATGGTCAGGGAGGGCCAGTCACACAAGTTCTCAGGGGAGCTGGGCTGGGGCCCAGTCTCTTGACCCCACGCTGCCCACCCCCCCCTTTGCTTATCACTGAAGCGCTTTCCTTGCAGCGTTTTCTGAGACATGCTCACCAGGGTCTCCCTAGTAGCACAGGGGCCCCAATTTCCTTTCCCGGGAGGTCAGAGAAAGCCTGGCATGCCATAGGAGGCCTTGTCCACACAGGGCTTCTGACGCCTAGTGTCCAGCCGCTGGGGTCTCTGCCTTTCTGCACTTCATCACAGGGCTGTGCCTTCGGGCCAGAGCGTCTCAAGCATTCCCACAGGGCCCCTCATGCCAGGCATCGTCCTGGGGTGCACAGCTGGAGCTGCCTGATTCTACCCCACCCTTAGTAGGTTTTAAAGTCCTGAAGCCTCCAGATCATTCCCAGGACCTCCAGAAAAAGAATCGAATGTCCCTGGCCCAGCCTGATGG